CTCCTACCACGGTGTCGTGTGTGGTCGGCAGACTGCGTCGTTTTTTTTATGTCCTCATGCGTCACACCTGTCATCCCTAATTGCCAGCAATTCGCTTGGTAATGTAGCACCCTAACTTATGAAATTTTGTGTGTGTGTGTGACTTTTTTCAGTGAAGCTACTGACAAATTTGATGAATCAATGCGTCGGGTAAGTCTCACTTTGGGTAAATCTAACAGTGAAAATTAAGAAAAGCAAATTACTACCTTCCTCTTTTGCTGGAATTTGTCTGCTCTGATTCGGGAGAAACACTTTCCTCCTCGACCTCCCCTTCCCTAACCCTTGCCCGTTCCGTTCTTCAATGCCCTCTCACCTTACACGTCCCTGGGTCCAGGTGGTGTGGGTATGACTAGCCCCCCCCCCCCTCCTTAACTGTTAAATGAAATTAAAAGAAAAAAAATACTTAGATACAACTGTAAATAAATTTTATGTATTAATTTGTTCATCGGCAAGTATGTTTTAATTCAACATTGTGCTCTCGTTTCAGGGTATGTTCTTGGTTCTCGTTGGTGGCCACGTCATCAGTCTTTTGGCCCTGGAAGTTGAGATCCTTGGTGATCATATTCTTCAGTCTGGAGAGGCAAAAGCCTGATATGAAGATTTAAGAACCGTCTGATCAGTAAGCCTTTCGTATTAAAATTGATGATGAGTTAACTTTATCCCCTACAGTATATTTATCGGTTTATGAGACCTTGGTACAATTGTTTTAATCATATTTATCAGCTCCTCAGAATAAGGTCTGTCTAAATAGGTCAAATCTGGGGTTCAGAGTTGCCGTGACGATAGTTATTGGACCTTGGTGGATAATTATGTATTTAAGACAACGTTTGCAATGTGCCTTTGTCTTAAAATTTAGTTTTTTGCTATCGTAAAATATAAATATATATATATATGTAACTTCAGCAATGGACTTATTACGTGGAAATCGTAGTTTCATATCGAAGAGGAGAACCAGGGAAAACACAAACATCTTGACTAAGTTGGGTTTCTTTAATTAATAACGTTTCAGAAAAATAATTTTTCATCATCAGAGCCTAGAAAACAAAAGTTTTAAAAAAGTTTAAAACAATACAGGTGATAGACAATAAAAACGTAACATTATACCAAAATTTACCTTCCGCAAAATTAAGAAAAAACACTCCAATTTAAAACCGACAAAAATGACGAGAGATCTACGTACAAAGCTAAAATCAGAAGAAAAATTATTAAATAAAAATATACAGCGGGTATTGCCTTAATTTAGACGAGCCTTAGTCAGAAAAATACCACAATTCACAGGAAGCCATATCACAACTGGATGGTTTTACTCTATACTGATGCAAGGCTTCCATAATGAGGAGGTCCGTCTCACAGTTGCTCCTGCCAAGAACTGAGAAAACAGACGGCGAAAACGGGTGGTCATGTTGGTGTGTGTGGTTACGGATAGCTGAATGTGGTCGTTGTGTTATTAACTGGCCTGTTCGGACGTAACGGCCCAAGTGCTCATGGATGCGAGTTATCGAATGTCTTTTTGTTTTACCTATATATGCTGCCCTACAGCTAGCACACGTAAATTGATAAACAACTGAGGATCGCAGGTGTATGGGTATGGTGTCTTTAATTTTAAAGAATTTTTTGATTGAACTCTGGGCTTTCAAGACTAGTGTAAGAGAAATTTGTGGATAGAATTCATTGAAAAGCTTCTTAAGTTTGTTTCTAAGGGTGAAACTGAGTGGGCCTGTGTACGGAATGGTGAAATAGATAGAATATTTAGGAACGGTGTGGATTTCAGGCTGTGTGGGACTAAAAAAACAATTAAGGGTTTTGCCATTATGAGTGTCTGTAAATCTCTTAGGAAAACCATTGTTAAAGAGTATTTCGTTTATGTACACTAGTTCAATGTCCAAGTGGAAATAGCTTGAACATATATTGAAGGCACTGTTCGTAAGAGTACGTATTAGATTACGTTTGTAATTAAGAGGAATAAAAGATGAAAATTTTGATCTCAAACCAATGAATGTTGGTTTTTTTGTATAAGGCTGTCTCGAACTATTATGAAGACGGTGGATATTAACATCAAGGAATGGAAGAATATTGTCCTTTTCCAGTTCACAAGTAAATTTGATGTTGCCATATTTCGAATTTAAATAATTTAGGAACATAGAGACTTGATCAAGTGATCTGAAAATTAAAAAAGTTTCATCAACATACCCACTATAGAACAAAGGCTTAAATTAGGTGGGACTTTCGGTTAGCCAAAGTTTCTCGTGGTGAAAGAGGAAAGCGTTGGCCAACGTGGGACTTAAGGGTGAACCCATAGCAACAGCATCACATTGTTTATAAGCTTTGTTATTAAAAAAAAAAACAATCATTTACAGCCAGTTTTAAAAATTCTTTAAAATGTGGTCCATTGAATGCATCAATTATATCAGAATTTTAGAACAGTTCATCTGTACATATGTCAATAGTTTCGGCAAGAGAGATGTTGGTAAATAGAGACTGTATATCAAAGCTAGCCACAACACAGTTGTTGAACGAGATGCGGATTAGTTCCTTAACAAAACTAAAAGAGTCTTTAACAGAGTATTGATTATAGGTGATTGGTGACAGCTTATAGTTGAAGGTGCCGAGGGCAGACATTATAGGGCGTAAGAGACACTCATTCTTGTGTACCTTTGGTAAACCGTACAGGATACCTGGTTTAGACCCGCTAACAAAGCGTTTTAAAAGGAGTCATTAATAATTTTTTTGTTTTTAAGTTTACGAAGAAATCTGTTAATCTTGTCCTCATACTTAAGAATTACCCTGAATAAGTTCTGAATATATAATTACCCTGAATATAAAATTACCGGCCGAGTAGTTTAACGTCTGTAGTGGGGAAATTTCTTGAATCAATTATAGCAAATAGCATAAAATAAATTAATCTACGACTCTCAACAAAGATTTACAAAGGGAAAATCTTGTCTAACAAATCTGCGGACGTTTTCTTAGGAAAGTCTATGAGGTAGTAGATAATGACGAAAATTTACGATGTTATTTACTTAGACTTTAGCAACACGTTTTACAGAGTACCGCATCATAGGCTTCAGAGAAAAATTAAGGCTCATAGAGGGCAAAGTTTTAAATTGGATAAAATCATGGCTCACTGATAGAACACAGAGGGTCAGCGTAGATGGTTTTAAATCTGAGTGGGGCTGTGTAATTAGTGGGGTTCCCCAGGGGTCAGTACTGGGCCCACTCTTGTTCATAATCTAAATAAATGATCTACATACTGGGATCGGCAGTGACATACGTAAGTTTTCGGATGGCACCAAAATAGGGCATCTGATTAATTCAGGGCAGGATGCAAATGCACTACAGAAGGATTTAAATAAACTGCAGGAGTAGTCAGAAAACGGCAAATGATATTCAACACGAGCAAGTGCAGTGTACTTAATATTGGAAGAACATCAACCTAGAGAAGTCGACTTTTGAAAGAGACTTAGGGGTACTTGCAAGCCCGGATCTTCGGCCTAGAAAACAGTGTGTTAATAATCGAAATAAGGCAAACAGAGTATTAGGTTTTATATCTAGAAGTATAAGTCATAAGAGTGCGGAAGTCATATTGTAACTATATCTTGCGCTAGTCAGGCAACACCTCGATTATGCTGCTCAGTTCTGGTGCCCTTATTATAGAATGGATATCAATTCACTGGAGTCGGAGCAGCTAAGATTGACGAAAATGATTCCGGGACTTAGAAACCTTCCATATCAAGATAGATTAAAGAAACTAGACTTGCATTCCCTAGAAAGACGATGAGTACAGGGAGATAGGATAGAAGTATTTAAGTGGGTGAAAGGAATCAATAAAGGCGATATAGATAAAGTTCTTATAATATCCATGCAGGATAGGACCGGATTTAAGATGGATAAGTTTAGGTTTAGGAGGGAGATAGGAAGAAACTGGTTTACAAATAGGGTGGTAGATGAGTGGAACCCGCTTAGCAACTTTGTCGTAAGTGCTGGGACTCTGGAAAGTTTCAAAAGTAGGCTAGATAGATTCATGGATGATTGAGAGCTGCCACGCTGCAAATGCTAACCGGCCTATTGCAGACTCTTTATTTTCTTATGTAATATTACCTTGTAATTCAATCGTCAGTAGGAACATTATAGAATCTAGTCTCATTAAACATACCGAATCTGTCAACATGAATTTGTACAAATTGGACAATTTCGTGATTAACAAGATTTGTAATCAGGTAAAATGGTTGGTCACCGCCTAATGACCTAAATATGGTGGACACCTACTGTCCCTAGGGGCGTGATCTCGCTCTCCTTTACTGTATATATTAGCCTTGTCAGTAATTACTCCTTAGTCTGTACTCTCCCCTGAAGATGTGAATTACACGAAAGCGCTTGGGAACTTCGTGTTTTCTTCTTTCCTTGTGGTTATCAGCATATACTGTATATATATATATATATATATATATATATATATATATATATATATATATATATATATATATATATATATATATATTTATTCAGAGGCAACTTCAGTTGCCTCTGATGATGTCTTGAATAAAGACGAAAGCTAAGGTGCTCCATTGTTTCCCTTTCTCTGTGTGATTTTATCAAGATTTATCTTATCCACGTTTTCATTGGATCATCATGGATTATATATATATATATATATATATATATATATATATATATATATATATATATATATATATATATATATATATATATATATATATATATATATATATATATATATATATATATATATATATATATATATATATATATATATATATATATTCTCATTTACGTGTGTTAGCATTTACAAACATTAGTAGATTCAGCCCTATTGTTAATCTACGTGACAGTAAATCATGTATTCGCCGTAATCTAATGACATTAAGCAAATATGTCCGCGTCGTCTGCCGGGCTGATAAATGGTCCCGGACTGTTGGTGGTGATTCACTCCTCCACTGAACTTCACGCTGTATATATCGCCCCGCATCCGCTGTACTGGACTTCGTTGCCCTGTCAAGCGTAAGACCATCTCTGATCTCTTGTTGGTTACATTTTTTTTTTATAGGGTAGGGGGGAAGTTGCTCAAACTTTAAAAAAAGTTTTGAGGAAAATTGAATGGTGTCGAACTTTTTTCTTTGTGTAATTTCTGGACCTTGTAATGAATTTTTACCATCCTGATATATTAGATTTTAAGTTCAATTTTATGGGAAGGCATCATCACTTCAAACCGTATGATCATCTCACAAATTATTTAATTAATTATCAGCTGACGACGCGGACATATTTGCTTAATGTTATTAGATTACGGCGAATACATGATTTACTGTCACGTAGATTAACAATAGGGCTGAATCTACTAATGTTTGTAAATGCTAACACACGTAAATGAGAATATATATGTAACCGGTAAAAGGGAATTATTCTCACTTGACTTGGGGTTTATTATTATTAGATAATAATGCAGTGGAAGCGCCCCTTGGAGAAAAAAACAACCCGAACCAGCACAAACACACTTAAAATTAAAAAAAAAAAGAATTCTCCGTGACCAGTGGAAGGATAGCACCTGTGATTGGGGTGAACGAGACGCACTGTAAAATTTAGACACTTCTATTCCCTCCAACACTAAAGACACAATCAATAATGGTACACCAACATATGCGCACCTCTTAACCTGGCTTAAAACACTACACTGGGGAACAAAAGTTATACATGATATTGAAATTATAAAGAAATATTAAATTCATTAAAAAAACTAAATCAACAGTATTACTTACAACACAAAGGATGAACCTCATCTGAAAACAGTTCCCTCGTTATCTGACATCAATTAGTGACACATAAACATTGGAAAACAATACTATCAAAATTATTTAAGAAATATTAACTTCACACAGCAAGGCAATATTAGTCACTGAAAAATAGTATCACTATATGAAGAGGTTATTGACTCCACCAATACCAGTGAAAATATGCTCCTTAACCTCACACATAGGTTCCACATGCACCAGTATTTTTCTTAAGGCACAAACAAGCCCTTCACAACCTTGGAGAATGTTCCTCTAAGTACCCACTAGACTCCTGGTCTCAGTGTGTGACCATTCATTCACTCAGCTAGCCTCATTTTACACTCAGTACATCCATGAAATGGAAGGGAGTGAGTAAATTAGACCTTGTACAGTTAAGGGGAGCTTTAGCTTCCAGTTAGTAAAAGGTTTTCACTAAACTGCCTTTAGATTTGTAGTATTGTGAGCCGAGGTGGAGGAGATCTGGTGACCCCAAACGATCGTCAAATGGGGACAGATGAGGGTCCCACGTCGTTAGTTGTACACCCAGATAGCTGATTTCACTTCAACCCTCACTGCTCACCCAACAGCGTGGGCTCAACTCAGATGAGTGGGCGCGTTCGGATCATGTGGACGTTCATACCGCATGGGTTCTACAGAATCCCTGCAATGTACCCTCTGTTAGCTATTGTCTCATATCACCGTCACTTACTCATTGTTTGTTCTTACCGCCCTATTTAAGCTCTGAGAGATTGAATAGAACTCACTTGTTAATACTGACGTTAAATGAATGAAGGAAACCAGTTCACGTGGTCGTCTCTCCTGGCCAACTCAGAGTTCCTGTCTGTTTGACCACTGCCTCATGACTGCCCAGGGCGGGTTCCTTCAAAGCGTCGCCTTGAAGGAGTGACTTATTTTTCGCCATCTGATTTCTCAGTTCTTGGCAAGAGCGACTGTGATACAGACCTCCTCATTATGGAGGCATTACACCAGTATAAAGAAAATCCATCGCTATGTGATATGGCCTCTAGTGAATTGTTATGTTTTTCGCACTAAGGCTCGTCTGAATTAAGGTAATACCCCCCTGTAGATTTCATTTCATACTTTTTATTCCTGATTTTAGTTTTGTATGTAGGTCTCTCGTCATTTTTGTCGGTTTTGAATTGGATTGCTCTTTTTTAAATTTTTGAAGTTTATCGAAGGTAAATTTTCGTATAATATTATGATTTTATTGTATATCACCTGTATTTTTAAACTTTTTCAAAACTTTTTAGGCTCTGATGATGGAAAAGGATTATTTCCGAAACGTTAGCATTTAACAGAAGCCCTACTTCAAGATGTTTGTGTTTACCCTGGTTTTCTTCTTTGTTACAAAACTACGCTTTCCACGTAACAAGTCCATTGCTGAAGTTATATATATATATATATATATATATATATATATATATATATATATATATATATATATATATATATATATATATATATATATATATATATATATATATATATGGGATTCATGGTTGTTGTTCACAAGTCTCAGTGTATATTCTTGAAACACAAGTACAGACGGAAGACCAATAAACATAGTAGAGAAACTTGTAGGTATTGAGTTAAAACAAGTGTGAGATCTAGAGGAAGTGTGAGTTGAAGACCAAAACAGTAATAGGAATCAAAGAATTGTTCTTTAATTTTATAAATACACAGTGGAATAGATATATTTTCTTAATTAAAGTTTATGTACGGAATTCTGTCCTACTTAAAAGTATGACTTAGTACGTCGCACTAATGATTGTCTAACAACCCAAAATTGCATATCATTTAGTAGATATGTAGAATTCGCTGCCAAAATTCATCACATGCCCTGACGTCTGAGGAATAAACCCACCTTTTAAAATGATCCCACGAGTATATATATAGGTGAACAAGGAATACAACTACCGCGCTTTATCCATTTCCAAAGACATACAGCATCTAGAAATTCCCTTGTTAACCGAAATAAATGAGCTGGTGCACCATTATGCACATTAGTCGTATCTTCAATCACCATTCAGTTGCTGCGGTAGAGGACACGGGCCGATGAGATGATGAACAATGTTAGCCCACAAGCTGGCTGCATATTGCTCTTGGTGTGCTCTACTTGTTGCTCTTGTTGCGTGAGTAGTCTCCTTGCCCGAGTATATATGTTGTCCGTGTTAAAAATTTCATCCCTTGTCAAACTCACATTTCCTTTAGATCTCAAACGTGCTATAGCTCGAAGCCTATGGCTATCTCGACCTCAGTGTATATAAGAACATAAGAACGTAAGAAAATAAGGAGTCTGCAATAGGCGGGTTGGCCTGTGCATGGCAGCTCCTGTCAAGAGTTACAACCACTCTCTATCATCTATGAATCTATCTAACCTCCTTTTAAAACTCTCCAACGTTCCAGCACGTACTACAGAGTTGCTAAGCTTGTTCCACTCGTCCACCACCCTATTTGTGAACTAGTTCCTTCCTATCTCCCTCCTAAACCTAAACTTATCCAACTTAAATCCGTTGATAGGAGTCCTATCCTGCTCGGATATTATAAGAACTTTATCTATATCGCCTTTATTGATTCCTTTCACCCACTTAAATACTTCTATCATATGTCCCCGCACTCTTCGTCTTTCTAGGGAATGCAAGTTTAGTTTCTTTAATCCATCTTGATATGGAAGGTTTCTAAGTCCCGGAATCATTTTCGTCATTCTTCGCTGCACCGACTCCAGTGAATTGATATCCATTCTATAATAAGGGCACCAGAACTGAACCGCATAATCGAGGTGCGGCCTGACTAACGCAGGATATAGTTGCAATAAGACCTCTGCGCTCTTTAGATAGATTCATGGATGATAGAGAGTGGTAGTAACTCTCGACAGTAGCTGCCATGCACAGGCCAACCGGCCTATTGCAGACTCCTTATTTTCTTATGTTCTTCTTATGTTCTTATTACTTACACTTCTAGATATAAAATCTAATACTCTGTTTGCCTTATTTCGAACATTAACACAGTTTTCCAGGCCGTAGGTCCGGGCTTACAAGTACCCCAAAGTCTCATTCACAAGTCGACCTTTCTAGGTTGATGTTGTTTAGGCTGTATACGTTGACAGTATTTGTTCTACCAATATTAAGTACGCTGCATTTGCTGGTGTTGAATTTCATTTGCCATTTCTCTGACCACTCCTGCAATTTATTTAAATCCTCCTGTAATGCATTTGCATCCTGCCCTGAATTAATCTGCAGCCCCTGTTTTGGTGTCATCCACAAACTTGCTTATGTCACTGCTGATCCCAGTATCTAGATCTTTTAGATAAATTATGAAAAGAGTGGGCCCAGTACTGACCCCTGGAGAACCCCACTGGTTACACAGCCCCGCTCAGATTTAACACCATCTACACTGACTCTCTGTGATCTATCGGTGAGCCACGATTTTATCCAATTTAAAACTTTCCCCTCGTTACCATGAGCCTTAACTGTTCTCAGAAACCTCTGTTGTGGTACTCTGTCAAACGCTTTGCTAAAGTCTAAGTAAATAACATCGTAATTTTCGTCATTATCTACTACCTCGAAGACTTTCCTAAAAAACGTCAGCAGATTTGTTAGACAAGATTTTCCCTTTGTAAACTCATGTTGAGAGTCGTAGATTAATTTGCTTTTCTCTAAATGCAATTGAATGCTATTTGCTATAATTGATTCAAGAAATTTCCTCACTACTGACGTCAAACTAATCGGCCGGTTATTTGAAGCTGATGCTCTGTCTCCCTTTTTGAATATGGGTACTACATTTGCCTGTTTACATAAATCTGGCACAACTCCCGTGTCTAATAATTTTGTAAATAAGTTGATGAGGGGTCCACTAATCTGTTCCTTACACTCTTTCAAAACTCGAGGGAAAATTTCATCCGGCCCTTGGGATTTTGTCTTCTTTAATTTATTTATCTTCTTAAGAACATTCTCTTTTCTGATAGTGATATTCTTTAATTTATCTTCTTTATTTCCCCTAAAAATCAGTTCCACCTCTGGAATTTCCTAGTGAATTTCTTCTGTGAAAACTGATAAAAAGTAGCTGTTCAATGCTTTGCATATTTCCACACTGTCATCGATCACTTCCCCCCTCCCTGACTTTAAAGACACCAACTTTGTCCTCGACCTTTTTCCTATATACCTGGACAAATCCCTTGGGATTTGCCTTGGATTCTCTCGCTATCCTGATTTCGTAGTCCCTCTTTGCCTTCCTTACATTTTTCTTAACATTCCTAGATAGTTCATTATACCTATTTCTGAACAGCTCCCCTACCTTTAATTTCTTATAAATTCCTTTCTTTTTTCCTATGTCATGTTTAAGTTTTCTGGGCATCTACCTTGGCTCATTCTTATTTGACCAAATTTTTCTGTATGGTATATTTTGTTCTTGTGCTTTACGTAGGATAAGAGTGAATATATTATATTCATGATTAATTGTTGTGTCATCTGTGACCTCACCCGTTCTTACTGGGGACTGACCTGACTGTTCCCAGGCCACCTCACCTAGGTACCTTCTTAACCCCTGATAATCCGCCAATCGAAAGTTTTTGACTCTGACCATATTGTCATTGCAATTCGTTTCCAAATTTAGGGTGAACCTGATTTATCTGTGATCACTGTTCCCTAGTTCTTCCCCTACTGTGATATCTCTGATAATATTTTCTTTGTTTGTTTATACTAGGTCTAATATATTGTTACCTCTAGTCGGTTCTGTAAGTAGTTGTTTGAAAAAATTGTCCTGTACTGCGTCTAGGAAGTCTTCAGATTCATAGTCACCTACAATGTTGTCCCAGTCAATATTTCTGAAGTTGAAATCCCCCTTAATCCACAGGTTGTTGTATCTCTCTGCCCTACTCATTTCCTGCCATATGGGCTGAGCTGCTTCTTTCCCAAGACTTGGGGGGCCTGTAAATCACTCCCATAATTAGTTTTCTCTTCCTTCCGCAATTTATACCCATACAGTCTCGGTTCCTATTTCACCCTTTATTGAATTATTAATACAATATTTTAATGTATCCCTGACGAAGAGTGCGCCCCGTCCCCCCTTCCTACCTTCCCTGTCCTTGTGAAAAAGGTTGTACCCTTCTATGTGGTACTCTGATAAAAAGTTCTTACTCTCCAGGTTCATCCAAGTTTCAGTGATTGGTAGTCTATATTCTCAGTACATACAACCGCTCTCAGCAAGTCTATTTTATTTCTAACGCTCCTACTGTTTTTATAGTATACATTTAAACCTACCCTTCCCTGGTCCTGTTTTCCCCCTTGTCCTGAGTAACCACTTTTACTCCCCGGACGTGCTTGTTTTTTTACTCCCACTTACCCTGACCTCTCTCTACTGGCGAAACCCCACCTTTGAAGTGACAATTTTGCGCTCCAGGGATGCACGCAACGTCTTTACCCCCGCGCAAGACAAGTGTACTCCATCATGACTGTACAGATAGTAGTTGCCATAGAATGGTTGCCAGTTATGAATGAATGCCCAACCATTGCTTGCACAAAGTTTTTCCAGTCGGCAATTTATAGCAATTGCCCTGGATAGCCATTCACGACCGACTCCCCTTCTAGGCAAGACACCACATACTATCGGGATCCTTCCCCTATCTCTAACCTTCCCCAGCTCCTTCCTATACCTCTTGAAAAATTCCTCACTCCTAACTTTTCCTATGTCGTTACCTCCGATACTAAGACACACTACTGGATTGATACCCTCCCCTGTCAAAACCCTATCTATGCTCTGAGCTACATGCCCTATCTCAGCCCCAGGAAAATACACCCTATTCCTACGTTTCTTATCTCTTGCACAAAAAGTCCTATCTAAGAACCCTACCTGGCTGTCCCCAACTACCACGACCTTACCACTGGGCAGGGTCTGAACAACTGCCCTTTTTTCTCCTGGCACCACATCTTCCTACCTCTTCTCTTCCTCGTCCTGCCTCTTCTCCTCGTCCTGCCTCTCCTTCTCCTCACCAGATTCCTCCAACAATTGGTAGGGGTTACTGCACTCCACACCCTGGTCAGCTTTCCTGAGTCTGACCCTAGTCCCCTTGGAAGGAACCACTCTCCATGCCTGAAGGAGTTCAGTCCTGAGGGCTTCGCTCTCCCCCTTTAACATGTCCATCTCTCTCCTCAACTGCTCCAGCTAACTTAACAAAGTAGCCAGGTTCCTCACACTCCGCCCCTCTTCCCCCACAACACAACGATCCACGGCGGCCATGTCCTCTGGTCACTAACACGAGCACTTCGGGGCACGTCCTTCTCCATGCTAGGTTAGTACAATGAGGTAGTATATGGTAGTATTGCTTTACTCTTCTCTTATGAATACACCCTGTGTTATCACAGACAAAGTATATACACGGTATCATACATGCTTGTAGATATGATGAAAGAGGTTGAAGAATATTCGTATGATACAGGTCTCACTGTACTCAGTATTGTATGAAATGAACTTTTATATGAACCGGCGTTAACATTATCATAATTTCCTCGATGGCAGAATTCTGAATTCTGTCAACAAACAACTGATAGTTATATATACATAAAATGGACTTGTAATCGAAATTAATTAATGAAACGATGACTTTTATTGGTTAAAACGTATGTAGTTCTTCTTCTTTGGGTATATGCCTTATTTTTTCAGGTGATCTTCTTCAACCAATCACTGGTCCAATAGTTAATGCAAATTGTTTTCCAAGACGATAGTTGGAGCGCTCTCACGCGGTCACATACTGAACTACATAGGAAAATAAAGTTCAATTCTTTGGCTTATTTGTGGACATTAACCTTCAATACTGTATTTATAATTCTTACTGGATGTAGTGTTTGCACCAGCACTATATTGAATGTGTGTATTTCATCTCCGTTGTGTATTTCATCTCCGTAAAAGGATTATGGAGCGTCGGCACAAGTTCAGGCCGACGACACTGGGAGAACGTGTCAAGCTGGTATGGATGTGGATTGAAGGTGTCCCGACCCGCACCATAGCAGAAGAGACGGGCACAAGTGTGACGACGGTCTGCAGGTGGATAAAACGGTGGCGTCACGAGGGACATGTGGAAACAAGGACTCGGAGTGGCAGGCCACGAATAAGGAGTGAAAGGAATACAGCAACTGTGCAAAACATAACTCCTCAGACTATAGCTTACCAGTATCTACCGTAAAGAAAAGTCGATTGTTTTGTACTGCTCTACCTATGTTTCAGTATCGCTCAAATTAAATTGCTCATTGTTACACAGTGCGTTTAAATCACCTACAGATAGGTAAATATAGATTACGTTATTCAAAAACGTAAACAGCAACCAAATCCTCAAAAAGATATAAATGGTAACCCGAATAAAGTAGCTAAGGTATTCCACACCTAGTACTATATGTTCTTAGCTATCAAAAATTTATTCGAGAGCACCTTTTTACTTTTTCTTTTTTTTCTTTTTTTTTATTGGGCACCCCCCTACATCCTTGTGTAAGGTGAAACGCAGAAGCGCTTACAGTGCCCAACAGGAAAGCATGCTAAGTTCATGCTTGCCTTCATGTCTCATGAGTTAAGGGCTCAGAAGCCTGAAGAGTCAAGGGCATAGAAGCCTGAACAGTCAATGGTTTATGTCATCAAGTTATTGGAAGCTCCAACAACTTGTCCCTGAATACAAATTCGCAACTTTCGATTTACACGAGGTACCTACTTTACTGCTAGGTGAACAGGGACTAATGGGGGATAGGAAGTATTTCCAAACAACTTCCACCGGCCAGGGAATCGAACCCGTGACATCTCGCTTGCGAAGGCAAGAGCGGTACCACTCTACCAGCAGCACCCCCAACCTTTTTACTGTAGAAATTACATGATAATCTGCCCTTGTAACAAAACATCAGCAACACCACGAGATCAGCAACATCACGAGAACAGTAGTAGTATTGGTGCCAGATGTAAACACACGAAGGCTGAACAGGCTTTGTGTGAAATATAATATAGTCTAGGATTGCTTTTTGTCTCCTTGTGGCATGGTTGGTAGCGTTCCCTGGTCACATGTATAAGGTCCAGGGTTCGACACCTGGCTGGTGAGGTCGTTGCTCATAGGTTCAAGTCCGCGTGTTATATGGATTATGATCATTAAACATACCGAAGCAGTCAACATGAATTTGAGTAATGGCATGTACAAACTGGACAATTTTGTAATTAAGAAGATTTGTAACCGGGTGAGAAGGTTGGGTCACTTTACCCTCTGACCTGAATACCGACCGTTGCGGTGCTTTTTAAAGATTAGTAGGGTCATTACCTAATACCTGACCATTGTGGACCTGATCTCACCCTCCTCTGTATATATACACCTTGTTTTGTACTTCTCCTTAGCCCAATAAAGCACGCGGACTTCTACATACAATCAACACCTCAACCCGCCAGGATTCGAACCCACGGCCCACAAGCCTATGACTGTCATAGGCTTGTGGGCCGTGGGTTCGAAACCTGGCGGGTTGAGGTGTTGATTGTATATATATATATATATATATATATATATATATATATATATATATATATATATATATATATATATATATATATACATATATATATATATATATATATATATATATATATATATTTATATATATATATATATATATATATATATATATATATATATATATATATATATATATATTTCATGTCACAATGAAAACGTGGATAAGATAAATCTTGATAAAATCACAGGGAAAATGGAAACAGGTGCTCCGTTAGTTTATATATATATATATATATATATATATATATATATATATATATATATATATATATATATATATATATATATATATATATATATATATATATATATATATATATATTTTTTTTTTTTTTTAAATAAATATTAAGTTAAAAAAAAAAAAATAAAAATTACATGTTTGCCAAAATAGGGTATTTTTTTGTTTTTATTGTGAGGGTGAGGTAGTATACTATCCATTCCTTTTGAAGTAATTGCTTTTTATTGTCAATAAAATATTTCAATTGTTTTTCTTGCTACAAAATTGGGAACCCTAAAATATTTTCACCCTTCAGTTCCTATTTCTTATCTTTAACTTTCTTGCATGCCACTTTTTAGGAGACGATAAAGATGGTGGCAATTCTAACATCATTATTGTTGCTACTCGCTGTCGTTGTCGTGGCTCTACCTAAATTGCCTCAACCTTTTGGTGAGTTAAGTATTTGTGAACTTTGTACAAACATTTCGCGTTACACTTTGAACTGGATAAATATTATTGATTTACTAAGTGATATATCCTTCTTCACCCTGACAGGTAGGGAGGAAATGCTATCAGTAGCCGGAAAGGCAGTTGACGAGGTTTTGTCAACAAAGCCACATACTCTCTGTTCTCTCATCCTTCTCACAGATGGCAACACCTCACCCAATACTGTCTTCATGGTAGGTACCTGGCGTGTAAGTAAATGGGAGTCAGGGCTAAGCAAAGGTGATACAACAAAGGTACTCAAACTAACCAACTAGGAGCGAACTCGTAACAATGGCTTTAAATTAGACAAATTTAGATTTAGGAGCGAGATAGGTAAAAATTGGTTTGGAAAAGTGGATGAGTGGAACAGGTTACCAAACATCATCATTAACCCAAAGACGCTGGATAGCTTTAAACATAGGTTGGATGGATATATGAGCGATAGGGGTTGGGTGTAAATGGGATTGCCCATTATGGGCCAATAGGCCCGCTGCAGTTTCCTCCATTCTTATGTTCTTATGTGGGATGTACAAATATTGCTGAGAAATACTTCGACCTCTCGTAAGAAATAATCTCTGAAATAAGTTTTATTCAGCCTTAGCTATCTTATTCAAACTGTTTCAGGTATTGGGTCAGCTGACGGCCCCCTGGGATGTGGCGTTGTTCGAGGTGGCAGTGGACGGCCAGGACGCTAATATGACGGTGGCACAGCTCTCCCGGGTGGTCGACAAAGTTCGACGGGTAGGTCACTTACATTACTACTGAGTCGGGTAGGTCACTCTCACATTACTACTGAGGCGAGGTCACTCTCACATTACTACCGAGGCGGCTAGGTCACTCTCACATTACTACTGCGGCTGGTAGGTCGCTGTCACATTACTACTGAGGCGGGTAGTTCACTCTCAAATTATTACTGATTCGGGCAGGTTGCTGTCACATTAGTACTGAGGCAGGTACTGTAGGTCACCCTCATATTACTAGTGAGGCGAGTAGATCATTCTCACATTACTACTGAAGCGGGTAGGTCACTCTCACATAACTTCGACCATGTTGATGTCAACAGCTGCGGCAGGTGTCATGGTGCGTGACGGTGGTGGTGGTGAGTGACGACCCAGCCTTCCTCGCCGCCTTCGCCGAGTGGTCCCTCAAGGGCCGCCTCCTGGTGTGGACGACGAGGCTCCTCGTCGTCACCCGCCTGCATCTCCCGGAGCTCCACCACCTCCACAAAACCCTCTCCAGGATGAACGCCATGTTGCTCATACTGGATGATGGCGTAGGCTCCAATGGGTAACCAGATTTTAACGTTTGTGGATTGTATTTATGACTGAGAGAATTGATTATTCGTCTTCCTATACAAATGAGTTTTAAATCATTTTTCGCATAATTATTAAGAACCACGATAAGAATTATGACACGTGTATGTAATTAACAACTCCCTAATACCACAGGTGCAGTCTGTACGTGCATATGCCTTACAGCCCCCGGGGAGCCCAGGAGTTGAGGGTGGCCACCTGGACGCCCCACCGAGGCATAACGCTCACAACCCACCTCTCGCTCTTTCCTGACAAGTTCACCAAGTAAGTGAACGTTATAGCTGACATGTAGTGTATGTCAAATGTGTGTGTACAACTGTACATGCAACTGGAAGCTAACATCCACATAACATAAACGTGTAGTTGACCAAATTTTTATAAAATGGAAAATATTAAAATTTTGGTAAAAGAAAGGGATATACATTAAAATTACGTTCTAAGTATAGCCATTTTTTCCACCAGACTTTTTCACGGACCAACGTTGGTAGTGGCAGGAGAGGAGTTTGAGCCTCATATTGCACTGGTTGAAATAGTGGACAAAACATTATCTGAGACGCTGTTCACTGGCCCGATGATCAACTTGCTGGATATAATCGCCGAAAGTATGAACTTTACGTAAGTTTATTTTTCTAGTGCATTTTTTTCCATTGTTGCATTATTCTAGTTCTTTCTTTATGTGTCTATAAATACAATTACGATCTACAGTAGGCGTTTTGGTCCCACGCGATTTAAACTCCTGCAATTGCAAATATGAAGATTTTAAACGACTAAAATAATATTGAACAGTAGTACAATGGAAGTAGAAGCAAAATTTTAAACAACCTAACTTACCGTAATCAATAAATACTACTACTACTTTGCTGTCACTTGGAATCGAGTATAACGATCATCCAGCTATGATACAATGATATAAGTAATTAGGGATTTCATCTTCATTGGTGAATTTTGAGGTGACCAAAGAGGCCTATACGGGACCGGTAGAGTAGTTCACAGATGGTGCACATGTGGAGGGCTACATCGAGTGCGGGAGGGCGGTGGTAGTGTCTTTCCGGCGTTGGCTCTTCTCTGCCTCAGTTTGCAGTCGGGCTAACTCGAAAGTCTTGACACCTTCTCGTATGGTGCTCCTCCAAGTGTTACGATGTGAACGATTTGGCACTTTTTCAGGATTGTTTTAAGACTATCATTATACCTTTTCAGTTGCCCGCCGGCGTTTCGTTTACTATACGTTAGGTGACTGTAAAGTAGCTGCTTTGGCAGTTTATTATCGTTCATGTGGGTAACATGGCCAGTGGATAATGGTAGTTTCGATGCTCCTGTAGTTGGTTTCAGCAAGAATTCTGGCAATTGTTTTCTTATTTTCCCTGCGAAGTCGGAGGATGGAACGTAGACTGCATTGGTGAAAGTATTCAAGTGCCTTGAGGTGTCTCCTGTATGTGACCTGTGTCTCACTGCCATATAGCAGAGTGGGGAGTACCACTGCTCGATATACGTGTAACTTTGTCGATAATTTCAGCTCCCTACAGCTGAAGACACGGTTTTGGAGTCTGCCAAAGGCTTGAGATGCACATCTGATCCGATGCTGAATCTCTTCATCGATGTCCGCGGTGGTGGACAGGTGGGAGCCGAGATATCGAAAGTGGGTAACATTATTGAAGGTAGTACCGTTAAGATGGGTGGAGGTGTGTCTGAACCAGGGGCAGTTTGAAAAAGAATCTGAGTCTCACGTACATTCACCTCAGGGCCGAAGTGTGCATTCGCATCTGCGTGGGTGTTCAGGATACTCCTGTAGGTCGAGTTCAGTGTGAGCAACAAGGGTGACGTCGTCTGCATACTGAATTTTAGATATGGAAGCTGCCGACTCCTTTGTTCTTGCCTGGAGTCGTCTAATGTTGAAAAGACCCTTCATCGGTACTCGATGTAAGCCCCGCCGGCTAAATTGGCACTGGCACGAGTGAGGAAGGCAGCCGATAAAATGGAGAAGAGAGTTGGTGCTAGACTGGGTGACATTGTGCAGGACACTGCCGTTCATGCCATCTTGGAGTTCCCTCACAATGGCAATGAATTTTTTGGGGGCAGCCAAAATGGCTGACGTTCTCCAGAGGGCTTCCCTGTTGAACGAGTAAATGGCCTTGGTTAGGTCGATGAAAGCCATGTACAGGTCATGACGCTGTTCTCTGCCATTTTCCTGTATCTGTCGGGCAGCAAATATCATGTCAGTGGTGCCACATGATGGTCTAAAGCCACATTGAGATTCTGGGAGGAAGTTTTTCGCCTCAGTTATATGTAATGGGGGGATTTAGATGTAGAAAGTATAGATAGAATATTTAGTTGTAAGAATGTAAAGAGAGGATGATTGGTAGCGTGGTCGGTTGGTTACTTTCACATATATTATATTCGTAGGGGACATCTTCTTAAACGCCAACTCTAAGTACAGCTATTTATTATTCACTCAATGACACACACACATTAATAGAATATTATATCGAAGTTACTAGAACATTATATTTACGTTACTAGACACTGACTCTCGGACACAAACATGAAATGGATACACTTCCTAGTGGGTGCTGCTGGACTATGTCTCCTATGGGAGACTCTGCTAGCTGGAGACGCGGTGTTGGGGAGGGAAGTCCCCCTCCACACCTCGAATAGTGATGAGCGTGACTCCGTCTTCCGTCGATAGTGTTGTGGAAGTCGTCTCAATGGAATCTGAATCAGGAATCCTCGGTGGAAGGTGGTGCTGGGCCTATATATTGGCGGTCACTAGCCGGCAGATGACCTCTCCCAATTAACACTAAGCTGGGTGTGTCTTGGCGAGGTGTGGTTGTAGGTCATATCACCCAGTTAACTCAAGTACTCTGTGGCCGGGGTCAGGTCTCCTGGGTCACTGTAGGGTGTGTCAACTTATGGGAGTACCTCTGCTCATCTACTTACTGTTTATATGAGTTGTATTTCTCTAGGCTGTAAGCTGTGGTCTGATAAACAATCATTAAACCTCCCGCCAAGACCAAAGTTTCCATACCAGAGAACTGATGACACATATAGACAGTAATATCATGTGCAGTATCTAATATAGTCCCTGAGGCGATAATGTATCCTCACATTTTACAAACAATAAGCTTATAGATGTGTTTTTCTACTGGGTTAGTTTGATCTGACAAAGCGTACTATACCTTCCGCCAAGAACAAAGCAAAGCTTCTATGCAGGGAGGAAAAAACACATACACAGTAAGTGAACATAGAATGAGCTTAACTGAGCTAAAGATCCTACATATCTAGCATGATATCCGAGACAAACTTGCAAATCACATTCTACAAACAATAACCGGTGTTACATTGCCTTGCCAGCCCATGTCAAAATAATAATTCGTCCCAATGAGTAATATGGCTACAACATTGCATTTGGTAGTACAAACATTGATCAAATAAACTCATAGAAAAAGTGAGTAATCTTTCTTAAATATAAAAAAACATTCTCTGTAGTAAATGTTAACTGAAATCAGAGAATGAAATACTTCAAAAACACAAACAATGCGCCTACTTCACATGCTAGGGTGTTCTTTCTTTTTATTACACATAAACAACAGCAATACAGTAGTGTGGCCCAGCATGGCTCACTTCCTCCACCAGCTGGTATCGGGGATACCGGCAGCACAGCAGTGGTGGTGGGTTGGTCCTTCCGATGATCCACTCTTCATCGTCGACTTTCTTCTGATGGCACCACAGCTAGTCTTCTGTTTTCTCTTCAGATTGTACGATTTTCTTTCTTCAATACCACACCTTGTAGGTCGTGTCTCCACACCTTCTGACTTCTTCTCACTTCTTCCCGGTTTCTATCATATTCCAGATGATTTTTTCTAGCCCCATCTGCGTTTCTTCTATACAGCTTCATTTTCATATTCCAGATGAGTTTTTATGTTCCATCTGCGTTTCCTTTACGTGTAGAGCATCATTTTCCAACATATTCTAGATGAGTTTTTCTAGCCCCATCTGAGTTTCTTCTACAGAATACAGCTTCATTTTTCGTCATATTACAAATGAACTTTTCTAGTTCCATCAGCGTTTCTTCTTTGCAACATAATTTTCCGTCAATCTGGCCGGGGGTAGCCGGTCACACTGGGGGGGATGCCATCACTCAGGATGACGTGTGGGGCAGGCAATATGGCCCTGGTTTCGCCCTTTGTACACGAGTATTGGCTGGATCCTTGACAGTCCAGTCCCACGCGCCAACAGCGGAAATCCCCTCCCTTGTTCGGCTTGCCAGGGTTTGATGTGTGGTGTTGCATTCCACACGTCTTAACTTCCTAAAGTAGAAAAATATAAAATCTTCTTAATCCTAGACCAAGGGAGAACTTGAAAGAAGTGAAGTGGTGTGTGGTGGGTGTTGTGTTGCATTCATTACGGTGCTTCTCCTCTGCTCGTATGTACTGTGGTTGAAGTCCAGCGGGCGGTACTGTGTGTGACATTTGATAGAGAAAGACAATCCTAAAGGGATGATGGATTAGTTGGAAGTGCATCCGAAAATAAAGATTGACTTTATTCGTTATGTCAATGTATGGCAACTACGGGTTCCATCGTGACAAAGTTCTCATTAGGCTGGGTCGGGGAGTGAAACTCTGCTCACTATGCTGAATATTATTTATCACTATGCGTCAAGGAGTACATTATAAATCATACTGCATTTATCGCAATATTAAGTTACATTAATCATCATTATCAACACACAGCTTACGGGAACAAAAGACTGGGAATTGGTGGTCACATGTGGCGAGGCGGGGCGGGGCAAGAAAGATGCGGGCGTGATGGATCTGGGGGGGATGAGGCGTGGCGGGCTGGGCCAGGGCGGGGCAGGGACGGAAGGGTAAGGAGGTTGAGGTGGGGATTAGGACACGGAGGAGGATATAGGTTGTAAGACATAAGAACAAAAGAATGGAGGAAACTGCAGCGGGCCTATTGGTCCATACTGGGCAGTCCCGTTTACACCCAACCCCTATTGTTCATATAAGCATCCAACCTAAGTTTGAAGCTATTCAGTGTATTCGAGTTAATGATGATATTTGGTAACTTGTTCCATTCATCCAGAACTCTGTTTCCAAACCAGTGTTTACCTATTTCAAGCCTAAATCTAAATTTGTCTAATTTAAAACCATTGTTACGAGTTCGCTCCTGGTTGGATAGTTTGAGTACCTTTGTAATGTCCCCTTTGTTTAGCCCTGCCTTCCACTTATACATCTCTATCAGGTCGCCCCTCGCTCTACGTCTCTCGAGGGAGAGGAAGTTAAGATGCTTTAACCTGTCTCTATACTCAAGGTTCCTAATGGCCGGGATTAGTCTTGTCATTCTCCTCTGAATTCTTTCCAAGGATTCTATATCCATTCTGTAATACGGTGACCTGAACTGCGTAATCCAGGTGTGGTCTCACAAGAGCAAGATACAGTTTTAGGATGACCTCGCGAGTCTTGTAACTAACACTCCTTTGTATGAACCCAAGTACTTTATTAGCCTTGTTAAGAGCAAGAACACATTGTTTACTTGGCTTAAGGTTCCTACTTATCATTACTCCTAAATCTCCCTCGAGTCGGATTTCTCTATGGCATCGTTGTTCATCTGGTATC